GTGGGCGAGTTTGACGGTCTGGTTTGTGGGGGCAATGGGATACACGAGGACACGGCATGAATGGGTATGATGGGAAAGGAAGGGTGCCAGGCCAGCGTGCCTGGCTTGGAGTTTGGGGCGAGTTACTCATTTTTCAGAGGATGAGCAGGTTCGCTCACTGGCGGATTCAATACCTCGACATTTTACATTTTAGACAGAAACCCCTTTGCAGTTTGTCCAATCTGCAGCGAAGGGCCATGCATGATTTACCATACCTTCCATAACCTTGACACTGCCACACCACCAAGTCCTGGATATCTCAAGCCAACATCCTCACCCGTCGACCTCCATCGCCTCCCCCTTCCCCCCCGCTTCCAACTCCGCAATCCTCCCCAACACCCCCTCCTTCCACTCCTCATACTCCTCCCTCCTCCCCTCCCCCAGGAAATCATACCTCTCCTGAAACATGGTATCCGGCCTCCTCACCACCGGCACCCTCTCCCCGGCGGCCCCGCCGCCCTCCTCCTCCCTCTCGGCAGCCCTCCTCCCCTCCAAATCCACCAGATCCCCCACCCCCTCCACCCACCCCATCTCCAGCCACCCCCGCCGGCTCACCACCAGCGCCGCTGCGTCCAGGTCGCCCACCTTGACGACCTCGTCGAACCCCTCCCACCCCGCGTCGTCTGGGACGGTGGTGACGGCGCTCCGCGCCCGCTTCAGCGCCGACGCCACGGACCGTCGGAGGCGCACGTACTCGGCCGCGGGCATCTCCGAGGAGGGCGAGGCCACGGCGCGCCAGACGTAGAGGTAGAGCGCGCCGAGGAGGGGGGTGAGGTGCGAGGAGACCCAGGGGTCGGAGGCGAGGGTGGTGGGGGTGAGGATGGATTCGACGCCGGAGATGACGATGGGGCCGATGTTGGGGAGGGGGGGCGGGGAGAGGGTGGTGCAGAGGTGGCGGAGGGTGGGGCGGATCCAAGGGGGGAGGGGGTCCGCGGGGGGGTTGGTGGTGGTGGTGGGACGGGGGGTGGGTTTGCTCGGGGTTCGGGAGGTGGGTTTGCTGGGGGTTGTGGTGGGGAGGCGGGATTTGGTGGGGGAGGTGTTGTGCAGGAGGCGGGATTTGGAGGCGAGGGGGGAGGCGCCCGGGGTGGCGGTGGCCTCGCGGAGCTTGGTGCTGGGGGTGCGGGTGCGGCTGGGGGTGGAGGTGGTGGAGGGGAGGATGTGGTCGAGGTGATTGTAGAGGCGCTTGTAGATGCGTGGGGGGATCGGCGGGCGAGGTTCGATGGGGGGGAGGTTGAGTTGGACTTTGAGGCTGGGGTGGGGGGTTAGTGGGAGATGTGGATGGGGGGCGGTAGGATGGGGGAGGGGTACCGGTCGCAGGCGATGTGAGCGCAGGCGTAGGGGCGGGAGATTTCCTCTTCGGCCTTGAGGGTGCTGGCTCGGTTTCGGGACTGGGCGAGGAGGGAGCCGGCGAGCTCGGTGAGGGCCGGGGGGAGCTCGGTGTTGTGGGTTGGGAGGAGGGAGAGGAGGGCTTGCTCGAGGGAGCGGTTCATGGTGGCGGTTTATTGGGCAACGTCGAATAATGCCTCCTCTTTTTTTATGTTCAGTTCCTGGTGATCTTGTGATTCTTGGGAAGATGTAATTACGAGAAAGACGCGTCTCGGTTGGCGTCGCATTAGCAGTGACACCAGATCACGTGCTCCTCTAAAATGGGTGGCCAATTCAGGCGGGTTGCGCCATGCCAAGCTTTTGGGGGCATCGCTGTCAGCTCCAGCTCCAACGGCTGTCGTCTTCCTCCGTCTTCTGTCTTGCCGCTTCCACTGACGACGGTCATGTCTGTCACTGTCGCTGCCGCATAGCCACCAGGACCAGGCACAAAAAGGTAGGTCCCAACCGAAATGGTGCTCCACGCAAGTGGTTTACCGGTAAGTTATTGATCCTCAAAATCCCCCCTCTCGAGTCTCCCCTCCCCCCCCCCTCTTTGAGACTTGCCCCAGGCATCCGGCATCGCTGTCGTCATCCTCGTGCTGATATTTCATCGCGACCCAGACAATCGCCGCAGTCACCACCACCACCGCCACGGTGCTGTGGCCGCCCCTCTCCGGCGCCCTGGCTTCTGTCCCCCTCACCGCATCGGCCCTGCTTCGCGCCGCCTCCAAGTCGCCCGCTGTCCCGACCGCAAGAGCCAAACATACCGCGGCGTCGGCGTCGGCGTCGAGCTCAAAGCACGCACCCGTCGCGAGGGATGCCCCCGCTAACACCATAATGTCGCTCTCTCTGGCCCCCCGGTGGAATGCTTTCCGGAGCATATCCCCTCTCGCAGTCTTCACCCAGCCATCTGTTACACCGTTGCGCTCCGTCACCATTGCGAACCCCCTGCTCAGACGCTCGTTCTCGTCGACGACTCCCACCCCGCGGGGCGTCCCGCTCGCGATGCGCCTCATGGCCACATGTCGCCCGCAGGCCCCCCTGTTCCACTCTACAGCGCTCCCTCTTGGTCACCTCCAGCTTCGATCCTTTGGCACCGACGGTATCTCGCGGACCATCCTGGCTAGTCGCGAGGCGGCCGCCAACCGGAATCCGACCAGCCCGACGGCCCAGAATGCATTTTATCAGGCCCTTTTGAAAGCCAACATGCCTGCTATCGTCGTTGAGAGACACCAGCTTGGTCAGCGAGCCCATCCAGCCTTTGCGCGATTCCGTTGCTGACCATCTCCAGGCCGGTATGCGAGCAACCAGGCGACCGCCGAGGCCTACCGCAAGGCCCTTGCGATGCTTAGTAAAACCGCCAGTGTTCCTGCTTCGTCCCCCAATGCTGCCCTTCCGTCGAATAACGCCAGTGGTCTTCCCGAAAGCGGTCTTGCCTATAACCAGGCCGGTGCCCAGCCTGCCGCGGCGCGTTATGACGGACGTCCCCCCCAACCCAACCCCACCGACGGCCGGTACCACGTGGTTATTGACGAGCCATACTCCACCATCTTCTGGCGATCGGTCAGGTTTCTCCTCTGGTTCGCCCTCACCGCCTACCTCGCCTTGGTCATCATCACCATGATATCCGAGACGGCCTTGGGTATCGGTCGCAAACCGGGCCTCGGTGGAAAGGAAAACTATCAAGAAGTCAAGCCCGAGCTCCAAACAGCCCGCTTCTCCAACGTGCACGGCTGCAACGAAGCCAAGGAGGAGGTGCAGGACATTGTCGACTTTTTGCGCCACCCCGATCGCTACAACTCTCTCGGCGGCAAGATGCCCAAGGGTGTCTTGCTCGTTGGCCCCCCTGGAACTGGCAAGACGCTCCTGGCCCGCGCTGTCGCTGGCGAGGCGGGCGTCCCCTTCTTCTTTGTGTCTGGCAGTGAGTTTGACGAGATCTATGTCGGCGTTGGCGCCAAGCGAGTTCGCGAGCTGTTCGCCGCGGCCAAGGCCAAGTCTCCTTCCATCATCTTCATCGACGAGCTGGACGCCATTGGCGGCCGTCGTCAATCCAAAGACGCAAGTTATGTCCGCCAGACGCTGAACCAGCTCCTGACCGAGATGGACGGTTTCGACCAGGATAGCGCTGTTATCGTCATGGCCGCGACCAACTTTCCCGAGTCCCTGGACAAGGCGCTCACTCGCCCAGGCCGTTTCGATCGCCACGTTACTCTCAGCTTGCCCGATGTCCGCGGCCGCATTGCCATTCTCGATCACCACTCCAAAAAGCTCAAGACGGCCCCGGGCATTAACCTCGAAACCATCGCCGCGCGCACGTCGGGTCTCTCCGGCGCCGATCTCGAAAACCTTTGCAACCTTGCCGCTACACACGCGGCCAAGATGAAGGCTGTTGCCGTCGCCCAGGCGCACTTTGAGTGGGCCAAGGACAAGGTCATCATGGGCACCGAGAGGAAGAGCATGGTCATCTCGGCCAAGGAGAAGGAGCAGACGGCGTACCACGAGGCCGGCCACGCTCTGGTCGCACTCTTCACCCACAGTCCTTCGATGGAGCTCTACAAGGTGACGATTCTCCCCCGCGGCAACTCGCTCGGCCACACGGCTTTCCTCCCGGAGATGGACAGGTACTCGCACACGCTCAAGGACTTTGTCGATATGATTGACCGGGCCATGGGCGGCAAGGCCGCCGAAGAGATTGCGTACGGCACCCATCAAGTCACCAGCGGCGTCTCTGGTGATCTCGACTCGGCCACCAGGACGGCGTGGCAGATGGTGGGCCAGTTTGGCATGTCGGAGAAGCTCGGCCCCGTCGAGTACCTGCGCAACTACAACGTGCTGAGCTCGGAAACGCGCTCCATGGTCGAAACGGAGGTCAAGAAGGTGCTGGACGAGTCGTACGGACGCGTCCACAAGCTGCTGTTGTCGAAGAGAAAGGAGCTGGATCTGCTGGCCAAGGCGCTCGTCGAGTACGAGACGCTCGACAAGGCCGAGGTGGCCAAGGTGTTGAGGGGGGAGAAGCTCGAGGGGCGCATGAAGGTGGACCCGGGTCCGATGATGGTGCCCAAGCCATCTCAGCCGATCGGGGCGCCGGGAGGCTCGCTGCCACCGCTGCCCGAGAACGGGTCGCCACCCCCGCCACCCCCGCCAGCAGCAAGAGTGGTCGGGAATCCCAAGGAGAGGTGAGCTGCTGCTCGGGGCATGGTCCTCCAGGGTGATGGTCCTGGCGGGCCAGGCGAGGATGCATGAGGAAGGGGCGAGAAGAATGGAATTGGCATTATAGCGGCGTCGGGGTTCGAGCACTGGGGACTTGTGCTTCTTCTGTCAAGAGAAAATGCATGCCTCGGACCAGCGTTGTTTTTTCTTTGTACATGACAACTGTATCAATACGCAAAAGTCTCTACCACTGCACTTTTGAGTCTGATACTGTGGGCAGTGTTGTCAATCGATCGCCGTGTGTGAAGATGCAGAAGAGGTCGAGTCACTGTAGCCATCCGCATCCTTGTCGAGTTTACGGAGAAACCTAAAGGGGACAACAATACGACGTCGGTTGATACAAAAAGGGGGGAAATCCACCAAAAAATGAAGAACGCATTCATTCTCGACACCTGCAGAATTCGAATCTGCGCCCCCGAAGGGACTTCCTTTCATGACTCGTGGGGCCGAAGCCGCAGGGTGAAATAGCAGGGAAGCGCGTTAACCACTCCGCCAAAGTGCCTGTCTAACTGAATTGTACTGAATTCAGTTGTCGCATCGGCTCTTGGCCCGGGGGCTGGAAGACGACAAGATGAGGAGATATGATGAGAGATGGGAGCAAGATGATGTTGTTAAAGGAGTTGAGCGAATGTCGAAAACCGGTACTTTTAGATGGAAGGGACTGCGACTCTCTCTTGAAGTATTTTCATTCCGCATGGCGGGCGGTTCAGTGTTGGTGTTGACAAAATATTTCAGTTTGCTGAGGGGTGACGAGGAGGGACAAAATGCCAAGGACTTCCCAGTCCACTGCGGGCCAGCCACAGGCCCCTTTTCCGCATCCCCAAATCATCCAACAACCCAGCCGGCTTAACTCAGTGGTAGAGTGCGTCACTCGTAATGACGAAGTCGCTTGTTCGATCCAGGCAGTCGGCAAAGTTTCATGTTTCTTTTTGCCCTTTTCCCTTTTTCATTTCATTTGGGGACTGGGAGAGAGGTTTGGTTCTTGGAGGGCTCAAACGCATTGCGATGAACATGACACAAACAGCCGGCTTAACTCAGTGGTAGAGTGCGTCACTCGTATAACAAACTTTCATCTGTATCCGCAGATGGATGGGCGGGGTTCAAAATGACGAAGTCGCTTGTTCGATCCAGGCAGTCGGCAGGAAAGTTTTCTTTTTGTTTTGTCCCCTTTTGGAGGGGGAGAGTCGGTCGCTTTGATCCCTCCTTTTTTGCTGGCCTGCTTGCTGCTGCTGTAGGCTGGATTGCCTGGTCTGATTTCGCATGCTGAATTGGCTGAATCCATGGAATCGGCCCCTGCAAGAGACATTGTTGGTTGCAGGAGAATGGCTCTCATTTGGGGTCTGGGTGGGTTTGTCCAATGGTGGTGTGTGTCTGGCAGAAGATGTGACGATGTTGACCGTTGGTTTCTACTCCCCCGAGAATCGGCCATGATGATGGGGCATCGGTATTCAAACTTCAAAGGTGCACAACTCACATGAACAAGACTCGTGGATTGATCCCCGATCCAGCTGCGGATTGTCGCGATCTCTCATGTTTCGCAGATGCAGAGCTGTCGCCGCTGTAAAGGGGGGCGGGATACACGCTAACTAGATGCCCCTCAGCGCCTCCCTTCAACGGCATCCTCCGCTGGAAATGGGTGTCGTTGACATCATTTGCTGGCGCTGGGACCGGTTGACGGCTTGGCGTGGGGATAGGTTGGGGACGATGGATCGTGGCTGCATCCAAGAGCATTGTAAATTGTCACGAGCATCATTTTGTCTCGGATTCTTGTTCATGAATCCGGGCTTCTCTTTTTCTTGCGGATATACTCCTGGTTCTGACTTTTGTGCCCTGACGACGCCGCGACCCAGTTACCCTGGCAATTCAATATTTTGTCTTGACCGCGTGGTCTTCCCCTTTCCCTTGCCCTTTCTCGTGCTCAAGGTGACGTCGCGCTGCTCTCGGGGGAGTTGACATCGTGAGTCGCGATCGTGCATCGTCACCTCACAATTCGGCATCGAATTCGACCTCTCGCCCCTTTTCCTCACGGCATCGTCAACCTGACCGTCGACATCACCACCCCCCTCACTTCAACACAAACATACCAGTGATCTCACCCACACCACCACCATGACCACCGGCCTCATCCCCAACTGGTACCCCCCAACCCGGGAAAACTACGAAACTATCCTCTCCCTCTGGAAATGGTTCCCCGTCGTACGTCCCCCCTCCCCCCTCCCCCCACCCCCACCACCAAAACCTAACCTCCCCAGGGCGCCTCCCTCCAATGGGCCGTCTCCTGGTACGGCATGGGCAAGACGTCGTCCCCCTCCCGCCTCAACCTCCCCGGCCGCCTCGGCTGGCTAACCATGGAAGCCCCCGGCTTCCTCACCCTCCTCTACCACATGCGCACCCTCCCCTCCCAAATCCACCCCGCCCTCGTCTCGGACGCCGGCCCCGGCCTCCCCTGGCAGAACAAGGTCCTCGCCGCCCTCTTCGTCATGCACTACACCTACCGCGCGCTCCTCTTCCCCTTCCTCCAGCCGCACATCGCGCCCCTGCACATCCTCGTCTGGCTCTTCGCCCTCGCCTTCCAGCTCTTCAACGGCCTGTGCCTCGGCTCGTGGCTGGCGGCCTACGGGCCCACGACGCAGGCCGAGTGGGCCGCCCAGGTCGGCACGGCGCAGTTCGCCGTGGGCATTGCGGTTTTTTACGTCGGGCTGGCGGCGAACTACTTTCACGACGACGAGCTGCGGGAGATTCGGCGGCGCAAGATGAAGAAGGGCGGGGCGGGCGAGGGGCACTATGAGATTCCGACGGCGGGGCTGTTCAAGGTGATGCTGTTCCCGCACTACTTTGTCGAGTGGGTCGAGTGGTTTGGGTTCTGGATGGCGGCCGGGTGGGGGTGCGTGCCGGCGAGGTGCTTTCTGGTGAATGAGGTAGCGGCGATGCTGCCGAGGGCGGTGAATGGGAAGAAGTGGTATGTGGAGAAGTTTGGGGAGGAGAAGATTAGCAAGAAGTGGGCGGTTATTCCGGGGGTGTGGTAGGTGTTGGTCCTGTTCGGGGGGGCAGGTCGGAATGAATGAGTGTAATGGCAGGCTTATGTTTTGGGATCCTTGACTCTTCTCTCACATGTCCTCTCTCCTGTGGGCTTTGGTTTTCTCCCATGGTTGCACTCTTGCTCGGCGGGGTGGTGACCATGACAGAAAGGCGTGCCAAATGGATTATACATTTCAGACTTCCGCCATTCCGTATATATCACAGACACTTTTGATTGCCATGGCACAGGAAAGAGGGTCATTTGAAGCTAACAAGAACATACAGACTGGCCAAGTAAGCACGAGAAAGAAAGAGAGAGAAAAGATAATCGAAAATGAGAGGAGACGGCCAGCAACGAAAAACGCAACGAAGGACCAAACGAGTGGGGTGGTGGTGTAGGAGCAGGCCGGGCGCCCAATGCTCCCTCCTCGATCATGACCACCACACAGCCCTCATCTTCTCCACGCACCAAACGAGAGACCTACACCTCCTCCACCTCCGTCTTGCCCTCCGACATCACCTCCCCCTCCCCCTCCACAGCAACCTCCACGACCTCCTCCTTCTCCCCAACCACCTCCTCCACCACCACAACCACCACCACCTCCCCCCCACCCGTCACCGGCGTCCCCAACCCCGACGTCTCCTCCTCCCACTTGACCCCCACCGCCATCCCAATCCCCTCATCCTCCCCCTCCAGCCCCAGCGCAGGCAACCTCGGCGGCCCGCCCGCCCTCGTCTTCCTCCGCCGCTGCGCCGCCACCCGCCTCGCCATCTCCTCCTTCCTCTCGCGCAGCGCCGTGCAGAACCCCGAGGCCGCGCGGATCCGCCGCCCCTGCCAGAGAAAGACAAACGGCACCGCGCACATGAGCACGGCCAGCCCGGCGAGCAGGGAGCAGGCGCCGGCGATGCCGAGCGCGCGGAACAGCGGGGCGGTGGCGAGCGGGAGGAGCGTGGCGAGCAGGGAGCGGGAGCACGAGGCGGCGGCGTTGGCGGAGGCGGCGAAGATTTCGTAGGCGTCTGTTAGGTAGTTTCTTCGCGGCTTGGTCAGTTTGTGTATGTTAATGTGAGGGGGGAGGGACGCACAGCAGGGCCTGGAAGATACACATAAAGCCGATGCCGAACGGGATGCCGGCGAGGACGGGGACGATGAAGGGCACCGGGGCGCGCGCGGTCCAGCCGAGCCAGAAGAGGGAGAGGGCGAAGAGCGGGCCGCCGAGGCAGGCGAGCGGGAGGCGGCGGTACTCCTCGCGGCGGGTCCAGGGGGCGCCGCGGGCTGTGGCGCGCAGGAGGTGGTTGTCCCAGGCGAAGAAGATGGGCAGGGACAGGAGGCAGCCGATGCCGATGGCCAGGTAGGTCAGGCCGCACTGGCCCGGGGAGAGGCCGTAGAAGTCCTGGAAGATGAGGGGGTAGGCCTCGAAGGACATGTAGAAGATGGCGTAGCAGAGGGCGAGGTAGGCGCAGCTCGTGTTGACGATGGGCTCGAAGAGGATCATGCGGATGGGGCGGGCGAGGACCACCGTGGTGAGCTCTCGGAGGGTGCGCTTCTCCATCTCGTGGGGCGCGATGATGCGCGCGGCGGGGTTGGCCTGGCGGAGGGCGCGGGCGCGGCGCACGAGGAGGACGGGCCCGAACGTCTCCGGGAGGAAGCACACTGGGACCATGGTCGCGCCGGCGTACATCAGGCCGATCCAGAAGGACCATCGCCAGCCTATGGTGGTGGAGCAGTAGCCGGATATCATGGGGGCCAGGAGAGGGCCCATCAGCGTGGTCTAAGAGCGGTTAGCAGAGGGGGTCCTTTGCCTGGGGGGATGTTTGGATTCTCACGGCAAAGAAGAGGCCCATTTTCCGCCCTCGGCTTCTCGGATCATTGTGAGTATCGGCAATGATTCCAGGGACAAGGGCAATGGGAGCGCTCGCAAAGACTCCTGTAAGGAGGCGGAAGACGAGGAAGGCGGGCCAGGTCGGCGACACAGCGCATGCCATGGTAAAGACGGTGAAGACGGAAAAGGTTCCAATGGTCAACCGCCTCCGACCAAAGTGTTCGCTCATTGGAGCCCATAGCAGCGGACCTGTGGCGGGATTAGATGATATGAACATTTGGGGAAGAGAGGCAGCTACTGCTGCTCACCCATGATATAACCTAAAGAGTGTCAGCTTTTGTTTATCTCGCATCAGGGGCTCAGACTCACCAATGAGGTAGACAGATATCGGCAACACCATTTGCTGCTCCGACTTGACCTGCCACTCGGCAGCGATGAACGGGAGGGCGTTGCTCGGCAGGGCGCTCCCCATGGTCGAGTTGACTATGAGCATCATGGTGGTGAGGACAATCCGGTTCTTCTTTAACGCGGACCAGTTGTATGGATTCTCGGGGTCCTTGTTCTCCCATGCCATGATCTCGTCCTCGTCATCCTCGTCATGTTCAAAGACGATTGGCTCTTTGGTTGGTGAAGGGGGCGGAATGGATATGTGTGTCAAGTGGGCTTCCAGATCCTCCTCGTCAACTTGAATGATCTTGTCAACCTTGGACTCGACAATGTTCCTCTTCTCACTCTCCAACGCCAGCCTGCTGAGGCAGCTTTCGCATCCTAGGTGACTGTTAGTAGTATTAGGATCAAGATAAGTGACAGGACTCACGACCATGTCGAGTCTGAGTGGCTTCAGTTATCGGCACAACCTCCTTCTCCTCTTCCAAGGGGGTATCTGGTTGGATACCATCCAGACTGTTGGAATCATCTTGACTGTTGGAACCATCTTGACTGTTGGACGACACCTCAACCAGGGTGGGATCCTCTGTATCGGCTAGCTGGCTCGAGGCTACCTCTTCCTCAGGGGTGTCAACGGGGGGAGGCGGGTCAGGGACAAGGGGAAATCGCCGAGGTTGTTGCTCCCCATCATGATCATCATCCTCCATGGTCGGCTCGGTCAGGGGGTTGGTGGCGACTGGGGAGAGATGTATGAACAGCCGCCGGCGACAGTAGTCCTCGGCCACCTAGGTTGAATGATAGCACGTCGGAAACAGTAGGAAGGCCGGACGAAAGAAGAGAGGGTTCTGGTCTGAGAAATAAGGCCAGGCGTGCTTCGGGAGCCACCGAGTTTCTGCAACGAGACGTCCCATCTTGT